CCCCAAAACCCCAAAACCCCAAAACCCCTTCAAAGTTATCTACAAAATATTTAAATAAAGAAATTTATTCAATATTATTTTAAATATGATAAAAGGAAGTACAAAAGGTATTTTGTTTATTTAAATGATTTGAATTTCATAGTTGGAGAGATCTTTATGATCAGCTAAAACACTGGAAATGTGCCAGTAGTTCAATCACAGTTTTTGGGGAAGGCCATCACTGGCTTAGGCGGTGGTTGCTAGAAACTCTATGTAATTGAAGGTAATTTTATGAATTATAATTTCATAAGAGGGTGATGGATATCAAGGAATATTAAATCCTCTGCATCCATTTGATCAAGGAAACGAATAATATCACTCAGGGGGTGAAGAAGATAACAAATCAGCAATTGTAATTACTAATAGTGCCACTGGCCATAATAAATAGCCTTTCCATTCATCACCATTTGAATAGCAATAAAACTTCTATCAGATTTAGAAACCGCCGTTAACAAATGTCGACTAGAGAATTGAGGAAAGAGAATCGCTCAGGCATTCTACTCATAGATCATAAAGATCAGAGAGACTTGGTTCCCATCATGGAAATAATATGTAACACACAGCAACTGAGAGATTTGGAAATACAGACTATAATAATGATCATATTGAAAGACCAAACTTCTAAGGCTAAACGAGAGGAGACTCGCAGTAGTAAAATCATATTTACTAAGATGGGGAGGATGGAAATCATTAGTAGTAGGATGAAGGATAATATATTGAGATGCAACATTAAATAGAGCAGAATCAAGATGTTGGAGAGGCAGATGAGGAGCCTTCTAAGATGTTTACTTTCGATGAGCATAACTAGCAGCAAATGGTAGAAGAGAGGTAAAGTCAAAGATCTGGAGGACAGGCTCAATAAAAATAGTTTTAAGGAGCTCCTTCAAGAACCCAGTAACAATAGCAACAATAGATTGAGGGTGGTACAAGTGGAAGCATGGGTCACTTATTGAGTGTTGCAAGTGGAAGAAATCACTCACTACATTTAACTAGAGATGGCGATGTCTTTAGTTATGGATCAGGGTAATACAGTGCTGTAGGACATGGTGGATCAAGAGGTTAATTACATCCCACTGTATTAAAGCCTCTGAGAGACAAAAGAATAGTTCAAATAGCTTGTGGAGAGCATCACTCTTTAGTTTTGACTGATAAATAAGATATATTTGCCTGGGGTAGAGGATTTGAAGGCCAATTAGGTTTATCTAAGAGTATAGAGATTGCTTCAACACCTCAATATGTCAAATCTTTCTATGGGAAACCAGTTATTTATATAGTAGCTGGTGCATTTTATTCCCTTGCAATCACTAAAGATGGAAGTATCTGGGGCTGGGGAGAGGCCAAATTAGGATAAATAGGTTGTGGAAAGCAAAGAGATGTAAGACTTCCTACAAAGATAAACTTTGATCATGAACAAGGTAGAAACTTTGTTTAATGTTCAGCTGGTTATGGTCATTCAGCAGCTTTAAACGATTAAGGCATGGTATTTACTTGGGGATTCAATAATTATGGACAACTAGGATAATACCACAATATGACCTCTTGGAATCCCAGGATTGTAGACTAGTATTAAAGAAATATCTATGATGAACCAAGCTAAATGCCTCCAATTTAAAAAGTAAAATGCAGTTATTTTGCAACTTTCTTGATTGACATTAATGGAAGACCATACTCAACTGGTAAAGCTCCAATCGGTCTTGACAACTCAGATAATTAAAACAACTTCATCCTAATTAACGAGAATATTGATAGAAGAATTTTCACCGATGTCTATACCAATGAAAATTCAGTTGTGCTTTATGCACCTATCCGAGTCTATGATGTCCAACCTAAATGTGGGCCAGCTTCTGGAAATACTCAAGTTCAAATATTTGGAACTGGTTTTGTCAATTCAGATAAACTAAAGGTCAGATATTCATATGGAGATTTAAGTCAGGAAGTAACATGTCTCTATGATAACAATTAAAGATGCTTGATTGCTAAAACTCCAAAATTTGAGGAATTTGAAGGTGAAAAGCATCCATCATTAAAATTCCCTTGCAATTGCATTATCTCAGTTACAATGGATGGCATCCACTATTCTGAATGTGAAGAAGTTTTCAAGATCTACTCCAACGATATTTATCTAACTTCTATTAACCCAAAGTGCGGATCGGTAGTTGGAGGAACCACTCTTACTCTATTAATTAACATCGATGAGGTCACTGCTGCTAATCTATACAATTTAACTATAGGATTCTAGCCTAAGAAAAATTCAGTTTCAAGTCTGCATTAAATCAAGAAATTAGATAAAGGAGGAAATTAGACAAATGCAAAATCTCATCAATCACTTAATGAATCGAATAAATCATCTGCTGCTGTATTGACTAGATCTGCTCTATAGAATTATTAAGATTAAATACAGAATGCTCCAAATGACACTCTCAACGGCGAAGATGATAATACTACTACATCACCAGGATGGACTTGTACATATGCCAATTACGAAAATGGAACGATAACATGCACTGTTCCAAACTTATCTAATTATGATTAAGAAAGCCTCTAATTCAATGTAGATGTTGCCTTGAATGGTTAATAATTCACTGGCAAGCCTCTACAGTTCAGATACTATGATATTCATATTGAGAGAATTGAACCAGGCATAGGCCCTTCTGAAGGAGGAACTATTATTAATGTAAGTATAAAATATATACTAATAAATCTAGATAATGGGTGCAGGACTTTATGATTCAGCATCAAAGAGGGTGAAATTCTAAATTAATGAATATGAAAGAGTTGTTACAGCTTAATGGGAAAGAAAATTAAAGTGCCTCTAATGCATTGTTCCACCTTTGACTTGGCTATTTGGAGGAGTTGAATTGACAGAGGAGCAACTTGAGAAAATTAAGTAAACACCTATCAGAGTATGCTTGACTTTCAATAACTAAGAATGGATTGAAGCAAAAGAATTCAAGTATCATGATTGCAAAGTTGAAAGAATAGCATATGTTACGGGATTCGGTTAAGAAATAGCAGATCCTATTGAGAGAGAAAAACTCTGGAGAGCTGAAGAGCCGTAAGAAAAATATCCAGATGAAATGCCAGCCGAGGAAATCAAGAAAAGAGAAGATGAAAAGAATAAAAAGGCTTAAGAAGAAACAGAGGAATCATAAACAGTACCTAAAAGAAAGGGAATTAAGATCTTCGCTTTCGGGCATAACTTCGTTAGATCAGATGTAATTCAAATACTTTATAAACATTTTAGAATCTAAGAGTAAAATTCTCACATGTTGGTACTGGTGTGTCCAAAGAAGTTTAGGCATTTTTCAAGAATTCAAAGAAGGTTGGATGTGAAATTCCAGATTTAGGAGCAGAGGTACCCATTGGGCAACATCTTATAATTGTTGAAGTTTCCCTTAATGGCCAATAGTACACCTCATCCGGGATATAATTCCTATATAATTCCGTTGATCCTAATTTATCAGAGGAAGAGCTTAAAAAATTAGATGAAATGGAGGAAAAAAATTCAAAGAAGCCAGCTCCTAAGAAGAAATGAAGATTATTAATTATTTAAGAATATAATTATATTTAACTGTTTTAAAGAATTAATGGAAAATTAACAGCAGCAGTAGTATCAATCTCACAAAAAATCTATCCTATCAATGTAGAATCATGTTTCTACCTCCTCTTTAATTCAACAGTAGCCACCAATACAACAGTTACAAACATAGATTGTAAGTCCATACAATAACAAGATAGTCCAACAATACTAATCTCAGAATTATTCCTAAAACAAAAACAATGAATTTTTCATAAAGTCAAATTCACAGCCTAACATCCAAGGAATGAGTCCTCAAAACTTTGATCCTCACTTTACACAAAATATTCAGCAACCCAATGGCCATTAAATTTAGTCTTAACAGCAATATATGAACTATCTCAATTCATTTTACAATGAATAAGATCTTGCTAAATAATAGCAGCCATTTTAAGGCTAATAATAGTTATAGACTCAGCAATCAAATGTTACTGTTGCTTCGAAAAAGAACTAAAAATTCTTGGATAATGCAAAATCCCTCTCTATCTCAACTTAAAACTATAGCACTATAAACTAAAAAGAGAAGATTTCGAAATAACAAGTTTATAATTAAAAAATGCAGACACAGCCTATCGTGTCTCTGAAAAAGAGTGGTGCTGCAGCCAATCTCAATGAAAAGTATTAAGCATATTTAGTTGAACCCTCAAGACAAATTATCTCTAATCTTGGATATCAAACTCAATAGATAATGCCGTTGAGTTCATACAGTTCTTAGTCTGTGCATAATAATCAGGGAAGCAAAGTCGAATCATTTAGAATAATTGGAATTAATTAGAAACATTAAAGTCCTCATCATTCTAATAAGAAGGTAGTTAAAAGTGTAAAAAACTCACATAAATAAAGAAAAAGCATTTCCAAAGAGAACTAGTCTAATGGATCATCTCGTGGAACTTCTCATATTATATAAGACTCGATTAAAAACTCATAAAATAATACTTCCGCTAAAAATATCAATAAGCATAAAAGTAGAGTTGTGAAATCAAGTATTAAGAACTAAAACACTCTATAATAAGAGTAAGCTTAAGCATTTTACAGTGCCAATTTGAGTGATATAAATAACTCTTCTCCAAATTAAAATACTTTTCCAGATTCTGTCTCCTAGAGGTATGAGCAGATGACTGTTGAGGACTAGTTAAGAAATAAGATGACAAAGATATAGTAAAACTACCAATCACTCCCATAGAATTCAAAAAGCTAACGAATGAATGGTAAATCTTCAATGAGAAATAACTCTCAACTCAAATTGAAGACTTTGAATCCAACATAATATTCTAATTTCGATTCATTCGAAGTTCTTAATGGAAATCTTCAATCAAATTTTGCACTCACTACAAAGAACTCAAATACAAATCATATCTTTAGCGTATCTCATACCCAACATCGCAGTCCTTAAAAAGACAGCTTTTAGTTCAATAATACAAATCATATAGTCAGAAACGGTACACACATTCAAGATTTGACAAATGATTATAATGATAGCATAAATAATAATCACGGAAGAAACTCTCATGCTAATAAGATTCAACAAAAGATACACAAAATTATTCAGGCTACATCTCAAAGTACTCAACAGCACTTTTTTGGCAATTAAAATAATCAATAATCAACTCTCTAAAACTCATACTCCTCAGGAAATTTAGCTAGACAAGCATAATCATAGCATTTGGTGAACGGAACTTCTAAGATATTTAGACCTTAGTCACTGAAATAACTTATGCCAACTATTGATGAGTAAATTATGAAGCTAACTGAAGTTAATGGAGCTGTTTCACCCTCAAATCAAAATGATTAATTAAGTGGCTAATTTCTGTTCAAAACTTAAAGTGAGTCTACTAAAAATTCTCAATCGAGAGCTTCATAAGTGAAGATTCCTCTTCACCCAACATCTTAGTCACAATTTAGAGGCTAAATAATTAAGACATTGAGTTAAAATAACTCAAACAGAAATCTTCAAATAACATTTAACCATAAAGAGTCGATTGAAGGGGGCTAGCTAACAATTGAGGAAAATGATAAATTGCACATGAAATCAGCTAGAGGAAATCTAAGTCCAGATAAATGTGATAACGGAATTCCAAATATACTTTAGAAGCAGCTTTAAGAGATCATGATGAGAACTTAACTAACTCTCAAGGCCTCTAAAAAGAGAGAATTAGCTTTATAGGTCAAGTGTCAGGAATAGGAGGAAGAGATCAAAATATTAAAGCATAAAGTACAAAATTATGAATAGACATAGACCTCTACATCATCTACTTAGCAAATTAATATTTGAAACCTGAATATACTTTAATCAATGATTTTGAAAAATTCTATGCTCATTAATTGCTTTATATACTCTCATTCGGGGTTTTGGGGTTTTGGGGTTTTGGGG